AGATTGTTTACACAGAGCGATTTGAAAGCAAATGGGACCACAAGCCATCCTCCATCAACCTGATCAGCTGCACACGTTTGGACAGTGGGAGCTCGAGCCAAACTTCATACAGCGACCAAATGCCGTACGTGGTATCTCCCACATTTCAGAGAAATCAAGAGCAAAACTGTGACAATATGGAGAAAATTTGGCTTCCTAATAAACCCGCTAGAAACAACTTGAGGCAATTTGCCGATGCTTCTGACAGCCACGTCAGGAGTCACTCAGTCATCCGTTACTCAGATTCGTCTTTTCTGCCCTGTGCTCACACTATCATCCTGGACTTCTCCATGGTGCACTTTGTGGACTCACGGGCTACAGTCATATTGAGACAGGTAGGTCCTGAGGTGGCTTTAACAAGAGCTCTGACCCCCGCCTACCACCCACCACCCCAACCCTAACCCTGATCGAATCCTGAGTCACTCATCAGCTACTATGTGACTCCTGGGCCACTAGAAACTTGGACACTGAAGATAGTTTAAAGTCAACCAGAATAAATAGAAAATGAACCAGCTCTGATTTATTGAACTGGGGCTGGTTGCCTTAGCATGGCATATTATTGCTCAAGGAATGGAAAATGGGAAACTCAGCACCGTAGAGACAGCCATCTGCGCCTCCCCCGGCAACTCCTAGTGTACCCTGGGAGTTAGCTGCAGACCTGCTCAAGGAAGAAGTCTGGACGCAGCAGAGAGAAGGCGCACCGAGAGGCCCGCACTCTTCAGCTGCTCCGAGCACTCAGATTTGCAGGAGTTGGGGCCTGGAGCTGTCTGGGCCGGTACCTGTGGGATCATCCCCAGTGCCCCCTTCATTGCCTGCATCTTTGGGGGGAAAGGGCAGGGGAAAATTTCCCTTCAAAAGCTGTGTCTCTGCCCTGGCCGGTGTGGCTCAGTTGGTTAGAGCATTGTCCCATACAACAAAGGGTGGCAGTTTCAGTTCCCTGTCAGGGCACGTACCCAGGTTGCAGGTTCGATCCCCGGTTGGGGAACAGGTGGGAGGCAGCCGGTCGATGTTTCTCTCTCACAATGATGTTTCTCTCTCCCTCTCTTCTCTCTCTCCCTTCCTCTCTTTAAAATAAAAATAAAAATAAAAAAGGTCAATTAATAAAAAAAAAAGCTGTGTCCCTAGGTAACTGGCTCCTCTCCCACTCTGGTTTCTCTGACAGTTTTCATTTTTCTTTCTCACACAACATGGACAGTGTAGATGCACAACTAACCATGCCGGTTTTATCGCCCAATGTCACATAAGTACAATATCTTTTTTTCAGCCAGCTTACCTCAGTTTCCCGTCCTCTATCTCGCTCTTGCACCTGGTGGCGATAGCTCAGGTTTAAACACCCTGAACACCCACTTCCCGGCTCTGACTGCTCCCACCTTTTCCTTGAGATACGTGTGTTTGGCTGATTTTCCATCTCTTATCCTAGGATCCTATGTTATCAAACCTTTTTATTCCTAATGGAATACAATTCTCGCTTAAACGAGTCCGGCTCCTCTTTGGCCTGAGGCAGCAGGAAGCTGCTCAAAGCAGAAAGAACCCCGGTGGGGGTGGCCTGAGGCTGTGGCTCTGCCCTGGCTTCTGCTCACTGTCCATCGGACGGGAGTAACTCACTAAACTGCACCTGCTCTCGGTTTCCTCATCTATCAAATGAGAGGCACGGAAGAGATTAAGGTTCAGGGCGTCCCATCCACGAGACCCTTTTTGCCCACCCCGTTTTCAGATTCAAGTGCACATGATAATGTCTTGTCTTTTGGACTTTTCCATCTCAGGTCATCCCACTGGGCTGTGCTCTCTTCTCCCAGGCTTGTGCTCTAGTTGTCACTTTAGAGTTCATTCGTCCTACATTACTAAATGCCTACTGCATGCCACGCTGAGTCGGGCATATTTACATACATGATCCCATTTCATTCCCTCACCGCCTTGAGAGACAAGCCGTGTTTCCCCCTAAGAGCCCCGGCCTGTCCGTCATTGGAACATGGAGCGGCTGTGCCGACCTCCCCCCCTCCCTCCTCCCTTGCCTTCTGGTCCTTGGCGTGGCCCATCCATAGCTGCGTGTGCTGGGGACTTTCTGCTCCAGCCCCCCCATGGAGGAGGCAGTGTGCACCCCTACCTTGACTTTACAGCCTTCAGACTCCTGGTGCATTTGACACTTCAGAAGTACAGGTTCCTCCGTTCCTTTTGTCCTTGTTCTCCACTGCCATACTGGAGAAATTCATTTCAAATATTATCATTGAAAACTGAAACTTAATAAGAAAAATCCCAGCAGTCGTTCTTCCTGGAGACAACCAACCACTCAATTTAAGCTTCTTCCTAATTCATGGGATTTCAGTCTCCCACTGCTTGTCATTTAGAGTATGTCCATTGTGGCTCTTTACCAAGTGACTTTATGATTTACCATGTGATCAAGAATGACTTTCTTGTTTCCTCCTGGAGGTGAAAGAAGCAGAGGCTGTCTGTTTTAGTTGCTTTGTGTTTTGTTTGTTTGTTTTCACGTTTTAACTTAGTGCTTAGGGTTGGGCACTAAGTGCTTAGAGCACCAAGTTTAATATTGACTTGCTTTGAATTGAGCTTTACTCATTGCCCCAGAGCATATATATGGGCTGAAGTAAACTTGAGGCCAACGTCAGGTGCTTATTAATTGATACCACTAAATATTTGATGTTTTACTAAAGTCAAATGCAACTTTGCAGAGCAGCTCTGAGTATGATCCTCGGGGTTCCTGAATTCCATTTCCTGCTGTATCGTTTGACCATCTCTGGGCCATGTGTTCCCCCTCTGCCTAGTGAACTCCAGGGAGAAGGGCATCACATGCAAACACTAAGCACCAATATCAAGATACAATAGTTTTCGAGGACTGTCCAGTGCACTCCCGTCACACCCATGCCTGTCTCTGTCCAGCGCTGTACTCCTGTGGCATTCTCTCTTCGTGTGACCTGTTTTCCCCCTTGAGACCATGGGAGACCCTGTCTCATTCCCCACCCCACATGAGACCGTCTGATTCTCTCTTGTATTTCCAGCACCATAGTCACTTCCCAGCTTAGAGAAGTCCACCCAGCAAATGTTCACAAAGCTGAATTGCATATAAAGTTACATATACCCCAGACTAGTGAATGACCAAAGGGATTTTACAACCCAGCGAATTAGAAGGCCCTTTCTTAGTGAGTGTGAGGATCCCTAACACTGATTTACGCCCTCCCTGCAGATGTGCAACGCCTTCCAAAACGCCAACATTCTGGTGCTCATTGCAGGGAGTCACTGTGAGTATGCTTCACCCTACGAGGGCTGTGTTTTGCACCCCAGGTGCCCCCTCCCCAGTGCCTGACCCTGTGTGTTTCCGGGTTTGGTTTGTAGCTTCTGTGGTCAGGACCTTTGAGAGGAACGACTTCTTTGATGCTGGCATCACCAAGGCCCAACTCTTCCTCAGCCTCCATGACGCTGTGCTGTTTGCCTTGTCAAGGAAGCTTCCAGAGTCCTCCGAGTTAAGCATGGACGAATCTGAGACAGTGATACAGGAAACCTATTCAGAAACAGATAAGGTCAGAGGATGTGAAGCATCGTGGTGAGGGGTGAGGTGGGGGTGAAGGGGGAGTAGAGATGGGGGGAGACACCTGATCAAATAGTGATGAACACCATCCAGGAACGGTTTTGAGTGAGTGCCAGACTTTGAGATGTTGAAATGCTCCCAAATTTATCAGTTGGTAAATAGCAGTGGACCTGAGTCCCAGGTTCCCCCACTACCATAGCATCTGGGTGCCATTCAGGGCCTTTTCCCAACTGAAGAGAGGGTTACCCAACCCGCAGAGGCCTCAAGGGCCCTTTTACCAAACGCTCAGTTAGTGCCAGTGCTGTATCAATGACTAAATATTTTACACATCTCGTCTAGCTGTGCCTTTAGGATCCACAGATGAACAGTAAATCTGATGAGCTCACAGAGGTAAAGATCTGCCAGTCTAACACTTGAGCTATTATTCCCATTGTGGGTAATATAATTTACTCAGTCTGACCAAATGCAAGGGAGAAAGGATATACAGGCCAAAATTTTTAGCCATTTATTAATACTAAGTAAAGACCTGTGCCTACCTCAGTGTTTTCTAATCAGTATCTACGAAGGTTAACAGTTTCCTCCCAAAAAGAAAATTAAAACACTGATGGGCACCAAAATCTCACCTAATGACTAGAAATTATTTTTCATTAAACTCGATTCATTGACTTAATACATTTCAGTAATGTTTGAATTTTTTAATGACAAAAAGGAATTACCAGAGTAATACATGTTTATAAAAAAAGTTAATAAATAAAAGATAGCCAAGCCTGTAAAACATAGCCCTTTTCTTTCACTAAGTAATATATCGCCAAGCATTTGCCTACCATTGTTGAGAATTTGCACAGGTTATTGCTTCTGCTTATCCAGAATAACTTCTTCTATATGGGCAGCCTCTGCATTTATTGTCTTTTTAAAGGCTGAATTCCTAGGAATTCAACTTTTTTTCATATAGACAAATCTTTGATACTTTATACTCTGTCTTTTACATTTTTATTGCTTTTTAAAATGAATCATGTTTTTCATTATATTTTCTAACTGGCAACTGCTAGGATATAGGAAACCGATTGATTTTTATTAAATCATTTGGCATCTTGTGAATCCTTTTACTAGTCCAAAAAGGTTTCATTGTTAATTCTCTTGTGTTTTCTAGATAAACAATATTTTCTACAAAAAATATAAATCTCTTATTTCCAACTGTTAGAATTCTTATTTCAGTATCATAGATTATGGCATTAGCCAGCCTTTCCAGAGCAATTTAAGTAATACTGGTGAGTCTTGTCTTACTCCTGAATTTAATGAGAAAAGCTTCTTATGTTCTCTATTAAGGATAGTGTTGATAGTTAGCTTAAGATGGACATTATATTTACCATGTTTTTTAAAAGTATTTTTCTGGTTTACTAACATGCCCATCAGAACTTAACACTTGATATTGAATATATCAATTTCTTTTTCTAGCGTTTAAACTAGGAAAAACTAGGAGAGGAAAAGTTCCATTCTGATGTATTCAATTCAAGATGCCTATTAAATATCCAAGTGGAGATGTCAAGAATGGCAGTGGATATATGAACCAGCAGATTAGGGGAAAGGTTATAACCAAAAAGTCATCGGCACATAGATAGTACAGTAAACCCTTGATTCTGTGGACCTTGATTTAATGGACTTCGAATTTAATAGACAAAATTCCTGGTCCGTATGTTATATGTGAAAATTAACACCCTGTTAATTTTTAAATACTTTTAACCAAGATTTGCTTATAATTAAATTAACAGGTTATTTTTTGTTATTAATTCTCTGTTACTTTTCACAAATTTTAGCAAATAGGCCATATATTGGAAAAAGCACTGTAGTAATTTCGCTGACATAAATAAATATGATGTATCTACAACCATAGTCTACATGCTTAAATCCAAGAGTGAAAAAAAAAAGATGATGGGGCACTAAGTGGAAGCTACACTGACAGTCTCCCGGGACCAGATTGGAATTACAACTAAAATATAGAAAAGCCATCCTGAATAATCAACTGCAACTGAAGACGAGCTGGAGAGCACCCTCATAACCAAGGAGGAAAAGTGGAGACCACATAGAGACTGGCAGGAAGTGCGGAGGCAAGAGAGGGCTGGCTGGGCTCCCAGAGGCAGCAGCTGAACGTCTGGAGGGGCACCTCAGCTGTGGGGGGTCCCTAATGAGAACTCTGGGGTCTAAACTCCAAGCTGGGATCCCCAGTGCAGGGCACCAGAACTGAGAAAGGTGCCCACATAACATCTGGCTGTGAAAAGCAGCCAGGTTTCTGTCTGCCAGGGAGAGACAGCTGGAAATGCAGGCACCCTCTTAAAGAGCCAACACACAAAGGTTCGTGTGCAGCCACTCACATTGGGCTCCAGCAGAACGAGAGCAGAGTGGACTGGAGCTGTGTGAGGAGACTCTAGGGTTGTGGGCTCTGGATCTAGAGCTCAGAGGGCACCCCTCTGGATTCCTGTGCTGAGTCATTGCCCTATACCGCAGAGGACATCTTTCATAGGAAGACATTTACCTCCCAAGCAGCTTTTGCCTGAGGGGAAGCAATTGCCCCACCCTGGGAGAAAACCTCTCACCCTACCCCAGGGAGTTCCTACAGCCTGAGGCTCATTAAGAGAATCAGATTAATCAGCCTGCAGGCAGAGGCAGACCTCAGAGTGCTTTGAGTCTTTGCCTGATCTGCTTCTGGACCCAGGCCTTGGAAAAACAGATTTTGGTGTGCATCTTGCTCCTGTCCAAACACACCTAGCCCAAACAGAGGGAACCTCAAGCTGTGAGTTGTTGATAGCTCCAAACAGGGTACTCAAAGTCAATCACAAACAGCATCTGACCTTGGCCTGCAACAGAGACCATCCAAAAAGACAGAGTCCTGGTAGGCCTACCTAATACATAGAAACAAACCCAAATAGGCAGCCAAAATGGGAAGACAAAAAAACAAGCACTGAAAGAAGAGATGTCTCCAGAAAAAGAGCTAAATAAAATGCAGATAAGCAATCTGTCAAATATAGAGTTCAGAATATAGATAGTAAGGATGCTCAACAGCATGAAAAAAGGTATGGAAACTATAAAAACTGACCAGTCAGAAATGAAGAAAGACATAGCAGAAATAAAGAAGACATTGGAGGAATAAAAAGCAGATTAGAGGAAGCTGAGGATCGTGTCAGCAAATTAGAAGACAGGGTAGAAAAATTCAATCAGAAATCCAAAAAGAAAAAAACAGTGAAAAACCAGGAGGACAGTCTAAGGGAGCTATGGGACAACATGAAATGTAACAATATTTGCATTATAGGAGTGCCAGAAGGGGAAGAGAATCAGCAAGGAATAGAGAATTTGTTTGAAGAAATAATGGCAGAAAACTTCCCTAACCTGGTGAAGGAAAAAGTCACACAAATTCAGGAGGCACAGAGAGTCCCAAGCAAGAAGAATCCAAAGAGGCCCACACCCAGACACATCATAATTAAAATAAAAAATTCAAGACAAAAAATCTTAAAGGTAGCAAGAGAAAAGCAATCTGTTACCTACAAAAGAGCTCCAATAAGGCTGTCAGCTGATTTCTCAGCAGAAACTCTACAGGCCAGAAGGGAATGGCATGAAGTATTCAAGGTAATGCAAAGCAAAGATCTGAAACCAAGATTACTATGTCCAGCAGGGCTATCATTCAAAATAGATGGTGAAATAGAGAGCTTCCCAGACAAAATAAGTCTGAAGGAGTTTATCACCACCAAACCAGCATTGCAGGAAATGTTAAAGGGACTGCTGTCATTAGAAGTAGAAATAGAAGCATTGCAAGAAATGTTAAAGGGACTGCTGTAATTAGAAGAAATAGAGAGAGAAACATAGACATAAAGAATTAAAATGGCAATAAATTAGGACCTATCAATAATAACCTTAAGAACTTGAAGGGAGAGATCAGCAGCAATACAGTCATAGTTGGGGACTTTAGCACCCCACTGACTTCACTGGATAGATCTTCAAGACAAAAAGTCAACACAGAAACAGTGACTAAATGGCACACCATATCAGATGGATTTAATTGATATTTACAGAACATTTCACCCCAAAGCTGCAGAATATACATTACTCTCAAGTGCACATGGGTCACTCTCAAAGATAGACCACATGTTAGGACACAAAACAAGTTTCTACAAGTTCAAGAAGACAAATCATATCAAGCATCTCAGATAACAATGGCATGNCAAATCATATCAAGTAGCTCGGATGACAATGGCATGAAATTACAAATCAACTAGAGTAAAGACACTCAAAAACATTCAAACACATGGAGACTAAAGAGCATGTTATTAAACAATGAATGGGTTACCAAAGAGATCAAGAAAGAAATCAAAAACTTCCTGGAAACCAATGAAAATGAACACACAACAATCCAAAATCTATGCGACACAGTGAAAGCAGTCCTGAGAGGGAAGTTCATAGCACTGCAGGCCTCCTTCAAAAAGCAAGAAACATTTGTAGTAAACTATCTAACCCTACAACTTAAAGAATTAGAAAGCTCCCCTGTGAAGCCATCCAGACCAGGGCTTTTGTTTGCTGGGAGTTTTTTGAATTGCTGCTTCGATTTCATCAATTGCTATTAGCCTATCCAGGTTTCCTGATTCCTCCTGATTCAGTTTTACATGATCTCACTCATATGTGAAATCTAATAAACAAAATAGACTGAGGAACAAAACAGATCCAGAGACATAGAAGCATGGAACAGACTGAGGGATCTCAGAGGGAAGGTGGGGGTGGTGTTTGGAGGGGGAGAGATTAATCAAAGAACTTATATGCATATATGCATGACCCATGGACACAGACAATAGTGTGGGGAGGGCCTTGGGGGAGGTGTGGGCTGGAGGGGATTAATGGGGGAAAAGGGGGATACCTGTAATCCTTTGAACAATAAAGATAATTTTTTAAAATAAATAAATAAAAATAAATAAATCCAAGAGTCACTGCTTATAAACAATGTTCGGCAATGATTAGCACCTGATCACACCGTATGTTTGGTATTAATAGGTCCTGTTGTCATGTGGTGTGACTTTCTGCGGCAGTTTTGGTGCCACTCTAAGCCACCCCCTAGCCGTGAGCTTTTGTTTACTCGAGGTGACTGGCGAATGCACCCATTTACTAGACCTATTCAGTATAAATTTAACGCTACATATAGATAACACATACATATAGAAAACTTTTCTGTGCAATTAAACTTTTCATATATACTTAATTTTAATTACACATACATGTCTACAGAAGTAAAAACGGGTAAACTAAGTTGTCCATTTTTCAACATATGCATTCGGAAAACCTACTTTATTATGTAACAGACTTTGGGCTTTCATGACAACCCCTCACCCGAATCAGCCTGTTATCTGGAGGTTTTACTGTAGTGAAAATTATGGGGCTAAATAGACTTGCCTACGGGGACAGTGTAGGTGGAGAAGGGAAGGGTCCCCGGGTCGAGCCTTGGGGTGTCCCAACACCCAGAAGTCAGAAGGAGCAGGCAGGACGGGAGAAGGAAACGCAAAGGGCCGTGTGGTGAGACAACCGTGTTTCGGGAGGGTGGCAGCTGTTAATTCGCTGCAAGGCTGGCTCACAAAGCCTGTGGGGCATCTGCTGGGTGGCGGGCTCCGTGCCTGGCACTGGGCATGTCGGGGAGCAGGCCCTGCCCTGCCTCGGGGAGCTGGTCTGTGGACGAGTAGGACAGCACATCCCCTGCGCTGTGACAGCCATGCGTGAGGCACAGCGAGCGCAAGGGAAGCTCAGGCCCTGCTTAGTGACCTGCGGTGTGAGGCTGGAACAGTGAGGAAATGTGCGTGGCTGAGACGGAGGCGGGGCGGGCACCGGGAGCGGCATGACCAAAGGTAAGCGGGAGCCGGGCATCTTTGGTTAACTTTATGGCCAGAGCCAAGGGCGGGGACTGCAGATGGAGATGAAGCTAAAGAAGATGGCCAGAGCCAGGCCACCCACAAAGGGCCCTATGGGCCCTGCTAAGGATTCTATTGGGGGTTGGAAGGACAAGTAAGATCAAGGGGACAAGATGTTCCAGAATGCTGCCGAGGCGACTGCTATTCCAATTGCTGACCATGAAATCCAGACTAGTCAGAAAATCCGGAGAAGTCAGGAGTTAATGGATTGATTGAGCCTAAAGAATAGTAACTGAGGAGCCAGAGCGTGCAAAGGTGATGAAAAGCAGATTTAGGCCAGAAATATTTTCTACTTTGCAGGTACTTGTGATTGCTGGCCCCTCGAGTCATGTTGTATTCTGAAATTCCTTGACTATTCAAAAGTTAAATGTAATTGGAAATTTTAACCCATCTAATTATATGTGTTTCAGGGTGCAAATTCGAGACATAAAATAAACAGCGGTGTTCTAGAAGTGCCCCCAAATATAAGTCCCATCTTCACCAAGATGCCGAGGCCACGGATAGAGGAGGAGTCACAGATAGACCTGGAGCTGGACGCCATACTGGAGTCGGACCGAGAGAACGAGCTGGACCAGGACCCCGAGCTGGAGCCGGAGTCGGAGCTGGAGCCGGAGACGGAGCTCGACTTCGACCCCGAGCCTGACCCCGAGACCGAGCTGGAGCCGGAGTTCGAGCCTGAGCCTGAGCCCAAGTCCAGGCCCAGGTCGCAGACTTACCCTCGGCAGCAGTACTGGTCTCCCGGCTCCGCAGGTCAGAGTCAGCCTAGGACACAGTCGGTGGACAGGAGACATCTACAGATGAATTCATATTCACCTAAGGACAGTGACACTGAGGATCCCTAGAAAATGAACCGGGGAAAAGGGTCCGATTCCCTTGACAAATCCTCCCACCCAGACGGGGTCGCTTGGCCAGGAGCCCCAGACTGGTTACAGACTGGCAGGGCTCGCCTAGGGACCCCTCCGCCTGCTGTCCTCCTTGCTCAGCAGTGTGCTGTCACTCCCGGATCACAACGCTCAATACCAAGGATTATCCGAGTGCCCCACCCATGCTCGCCTCATTTCACCTTCAGCAGGTACCCTAACGAAAGATGTCCTCCTCTGTCCATTCTGCGCCTCTGGTGTTTTTATCAGATCATCTCTCAGCTTGTTTCCCTTTCTCCAAAGAGATAAAGCTCAAATAAAGTATATAACTCTAATTACATTTGGACCCTTCCTGCATTTTCTCCCTTCTCTCTATTCTGTGCGCCTAAGGAAAGGGGTGGGAGAAACACCAGAAGTGGGCGGACATGGTGGAGAAGAGACGAGCAAGAGAAAGACAACTGTAGCATTTGTATTTTGTATGCAAGGTGTCTACCGCACCCCACTGAGGCGGGGTAGGCCAGCCGGCCTCTGCGGCGTGCAAGGCAAGAACTGTTAGACTGAAGGCATGTTCGCATCTCTGCAGGGTCAGTATCTCATCCTGCCACTGTTTCAGGAGGCCAAGCAGCTGGACCTGCCCACGAGAACGTTCGTTCTGGAGAACTCCCCCTGGCCTTCAGCTTCACGCTCAGCATTGCTCCTTTCTCACAGGTGTTTAAGGTACACGCAGTCCGGAGTCTGTGCTCCTGGCGGACCAAAGTTAGTTAAAATCTGTGACAGCCCTGGCCGGTGCGGCTCGGTTGGTCGGGCGCCGTCCTGTGCACTGAAAGATCCCCAGTTCGCTTCCCAGTCAGGGCACATGCCCGGGTTGCAGGTTCAGTCCCTGGT